TATTTATTTATTTATTTATTTATTTATTTATTTATTTATTTAGCTTCGCCATTCAAACACTCACACATGAACCCACTCACACATACACACACACACACACACGAGAATAATTACATACATATATATACATAATGGCTGGGAATCCACTACAGCGTGTGCCAATTACAGCGTAATCTAATTTACTACATTTGGTCATATTTTTCAGTCTTCTCGTTATGTGCTACAAGTCACTCAAAAGATCCGTTCCAGGTTAGATGTATTCAGCCTCCTTTTCCTTCCAACTATTGTGATTTACAATGCTTCTCGATATAATAGCACGATTCGTCGTCAAGATGAAGTAGGTTTTGCTGAACGTTAATCAAGGCGTTTCCATGACAATCAATGGGCCTTCCTCTTTATGTTGACGTCGATGATGCTTCTAGATGGCAATGTTGCTCTGCCGAAATAACATGTTTATGACTCACAATTTATTCAATGGGCCTTCTTCACGTGGCAGCCATGTTAGTTGGAACAATAGATTCCACCACGTGTAGCCTCGCATTCAAGTGCTTGAGAATGAATTAATGCTGGGCAAACAAAGGTTTTTATTCTCATGAGAATAAACATGGCTGCCTCGTTTTTCCGTCATTGTCATGGAAACATTTTGATTAGCATTCACCAATACCTATTTCGTTGTGACGGCAAATTTTACATTCTGCGCATGCTATTAGACCTCTTTACCTCAGGGGCGGCGGAAGCTGAAAATCTTTGGGGGCACTGCAAAAAATATTTGGGGGGGCACTGCAAAAAATCACAACAATAACTTAATAACGGTAATAAAAATCGAATCTATGCATTTATATTTCATGTGAACCAATATTTCGTGGAAGGGCACGTGCCCTCCCCCCCGGCCCCCCCTGGTTCCGCCGCCCCTGTACCTTGGGCATAATGCTTTCCCACCTCAGACCACATGTCATTCCCTTGAGTATCATCGCTTTGTTTAACGATTGCGCACGAGAAAACACATGAATTTGGATACAACTCAAACAAATCTTATTCTCAAGAGAATGACACGGACTGAAATGGGAAAACATTACGCTCGAGATGGAAAGGATTATGGAGAAGCACAGGTTAATTGCTAATCTTTAGAAATGATCTTTGACTTATTTATAAATAACTAATTGAGAAAAAATTGAATTTGTTTTAGTGAGCTGGAAGAAGCACTGGTTGTTTTACCATTTGATTATGTCATTGATATTCTGAAGCTACTTGACGAATGGATAAAGGTATCAGCTACTGATCTACTTTACTGGGGGACCACCTCTCACATTAAAGCGGATTTCGAATGAGTATATACGTTAAATTCGCAACAGTAATGTGGCCCTACTTTGCCTTACCGTGGTCTTAACTACGCGTTTTGATTGCATGCATAACTTGAAGCATAGTGAATAGCTATTAATCTATTAACTATGCTTGAAGTCTATGGGAAGCCATTTCAATGCATGTTACGGCACGTCGTACCGTGTACATGCTGCGTCATTACTGCATGTTTCCAACTCATACGATAACCATTCTTGAGGGAAGCCATTTCAACGTTACAACATGTCGTACCGTGTACGTGCTGTATTTCAGTACCGTATGCTTCCCACTCATTCGATAACCATTCTTGAGGGAAGCCATTTCAACGTTACAAATGTCGTACCGTGTACGTGCTGTATTTCAGTACCGTATGCTTCCCACTCATTCGATAACCATTCTTGAGGGAAGCCATTTCAACGTTACAACATGTCGTACCCTGTACGTGCTGTATTTCAGTACCGTATGCTTCCCACTCATTCGATAACCATTCTTATGGGAAGCCATTTCAATGCTATGGAATGTCGCACCGAAAACGTGCTGTAAGTCAGTACCATATGTTTTCAACCAATACGAAAACCGCTCTAAACGACCCCGTTGCTCTAATGCTTAAGAATAAAAAAGGTGCGCCTTGCTGTATACACACACAGAGATTAGTGGAAGAAGGCACAACCAGTAATACAACGAGAATGTCCAAAAATTAGGGTACAAAACAGACACTCCACGACTGCTGTTTGCTAATGATTTTAATGCTTCTCTTTGGTCAAATAGGCAAACTGGGAGATAGAGCTGTCTTGTAGATGTCTGTTCTTCTTGATGAGGTAATTAATATATTATGAATATGATTAAGACCTTTTTTTAACTTAAAATTTTATCAAACTCTGAAAGGTATGGGCTGGTGTAAGTTGATAAGGGCATCGCTAACTCACAGATCGAGTTACCCTATTTCAAGATGACGTCACAGTTTGTTTACATCGGCTAAGATGATAGAAATTTAGGCTAAATTTAAGCTTAATTCTCTTCTTTCGAGATATTTAGCGTAATATTTAGTTGTTCTTGCCTTCACCAGCTCATTAACCAAATTTCATTGTGATTTAAGATGTGTTGTTGTCATTCCAACCCTCTCAAGCGACCATGATCCCTAGCGTTAAAACAATAGTTTGTTTTGAAGTGACATCATTATGAAATAGGGCAATCGGAATTTAGCTTTTTCGGTTTTGCAGAGGAGAAAAATAGGAGAACCCAGAGAAAACCACTTGAATGAAGGGATATAATGATGTGACATGTGATGCCGAGTCCAGGAAGGAAGAAGTGAATGCACTACTGCAGCACCACCCTTGATTTACATATTGTGCATGAATTGCAGTGGTGCATTTTCAGTCTTGGGTTCAAAAATATTTTAACTCATAGTGATGAAAATTTATTGAATTAATACTCGAGCTATTTCTATTATCTACAAGAATTACTAGTAAGATTAGTATTTATAAATGCTTTGAAAATTCTATGTATTATTTATTGATATGTACTATAGACGTAGATAATGAATTATAATGGTACAAAACCAATAAAAACGTTWAAAAAAAAWRTTTTTTAATTTTTATCAAGTAAAATCACAGGTAGCCCAAGCTTGGTTTCTGTGGTGTCATGTTATAAGGAAATGTATGGGGATTCCTCAAAAATATGAATAAAATCCTTGAAACGTGAAATAAAGCTTGGRAAAAAAATTGGGAAAAAAATCTTAAAACGGGCTAAATTAAAAAAATAACCACACAGAGCGAAAGAACTGCTATTTCTCGATGATCGGGTAAAATTTCGAGGCTTTATTTCACGTTTCAAGGATTTTATTCATATTTTTGATGAATYCCCAAACACTTCCTTATAACATGACACTACAGAAACCAAGGTTGGGCTACCTGTGGTAAAATGTTAAATTTCTTTTCTTTTCTTTTCAGAATCCATCACAACCAAATAGCAGCCACTAGTAAACTCTTACCAGTAATCRACTCCATTCGTCAGAACACCAAACGACAAGTACACGGACTAAGGGTATGTACAGTAATAATGTAATATATACATTGATATACACAGCCAATCTTTATGGGCATTTATAATAGTGAGCCATCGTAAAGCCTCCCAGTTCAATTGGTTGAGCACTGGACTATTGTGCTGGAGGTTATTGGGTTCAAGCTTTGGGTGACTGACACTCAGGGTCTTAGAATATTAGACTATAAGGAGCTGTCTAAAAAAATCTGCAAATGGTGAGAACGTCGCTGTGGCTGTCCCTGTCACAAGTTTATCAGTGCTAAGTTGAAACTGTCTTGTGTCATCCTCTAAATAAAGTCAATCATCATCATCATCAGTCATCATCACCATCATAATCAACACCAGCACCATCATTGTCATTGTCATTATCATCATTGTCAATATCGACATCATCACCAGCACCATCATCATCATCATCATTGCCATCATCACTGTCATCATCATCATCAACACCCTCATCAACACCATTATCATTAACATAGTCATCACTATAATCATAATCAGCATCATCTTTATCMTACAGACTAGACATGAATATAACCTAGGAACAAATACCTAGGAATACAATTTCATGTTCTTCTTTTAAACATTTTAAAACTGAAGTGAGTTAATTGAACAAGAATATTGGATCATGTTATAATTGAATGCACATGAGGATGATTCTGTATCTTCTCTTGGGTCACTGATTTGTGTTGTTTCTTCTTATTAATTATTCATAATTCATTTATTCAACCATTTGCTTCTTGTGTCAGGGGGGGAGGGGAGAGCCAACATTATATTTGTTGCTAAACTTCCTTTGAACGTTTTGGTCTTCAGGATATAATAGGATTTAATCAAGCTGGTATGCAGTTTCTTCGCCAAGAAATGGAAGCCAAGGAAATCTCATTTTTCACTGATGCTACTGAAAAACTAAGAAATATACGAAAGAAACGTAAAACAGTTAAACAAGTYGTAATTTAACCCTTGAATACTTTTTCTTAAATATGACTAAAATAAAGGTACTATGAGTTGTACAAGTGTACTAACAAAGTTGTGTAACAAGTCATGCGGTAATGTTATACTTGACATTTTATTGAACCCTGAAACAAACTCTGGGCTGATCTAAGTCAGGGCATGGCTAACTTACAGATCGAACCCTGAAACAATCTCTGGGCTGATCTAAGTCAGGGCATGGCTAATTACAGATCGAACCCTGAAACAACCTCTGGGCCGATCAAAGTCGGGGCACGGCTAACTTGCAGATGGAACCCTGAAACAACCTCTGGGCTGATCAAAGTCAGGGCACGGCTAACTTACAGATCAAACCCTGAAACAACCTCTGGGCTGATCAAAGTCAGGGCACGGCTAACTTACAGATCAAACCCTGAAACAACCTCTGGGATCTAAGTTAGGGCAAGGTTAAATCACAAAATGGTCCCTGAACCAACCTCTGGTCTTTTACTCACAGAATGAATTGACAAATTATGATTTAGCATGTGGGGTTATGTGATTAGAAAAATCAGAAGAGATCTTGGAGAAAACCCACTGCATGAAGTACTACTCACAACTTACATGTAACTCTCTACTCTACTTCTCACAACAACAAAAATATTTTGTTGTACGTAGAACTACATTTGGTTGTAACTTGCAACTTGTATAACTAACAAACATGAATGAATGATCAACAAAACTGCCCAATTAATGATTTTTTATTAGTGATTTAAGCTTGCCTTGTACAATAAAGTTTGCATAATTAAAATAATATAAAGAAATGAATAAAGCATTGCACCAATCCAATTTTTACAATAAACTTAAAGTTAGATCTGTGAGAATCGTTATCTGTCTACTTTGATGTGTTGCCCATCGCTAGAATTAATCATGCGGAATGCTTAGTTATGAAAAAGCAAGTTTAAAGCAGATTTAGGAAGTAGTTGTTTAAGCTTCAAAAATACTCCTACAGCTTTAAAATTTGCTCATGCAATAAATAGAAGATTCCAAGAGAACTCAATCTCTTTGTCTTTTCTTGAGATCAGCATTTGTTTTCTGCATTATATCAACTATAACTTCCTATGACCTTAGCTACACATATCCCAAATGCATGCCAGCAATCTGATTTACAGTAACTGTTGTGCAGTTCTAGAAAACATCCACACCTTACCTACAGAGGAGGATGTAATATATCAAGCAAGGAAAAGAGTGTTTCATCCGATTCCCATGCACAGAAAGGTGAGTCAAAAAAATGAAGCAAAGCTGCATTTTTCTAACCGACTTTAATAACATGTTTTGATAGAGGATGCAACATTATTTCAAGTGCTTGATATTACTCCTCCAACTATGAAAGATTCAGTAGGTGCAAGCTAGATGCTGAAATTTGATTTTTCGCTGCCGTCAATTGAAAAAATATTAAGTCAATAACTTTTATGTTCTTGACTGGTGGCAGTGAGAAACCAATTTCACAAAGATATGGATGTTTATTCTGGAACTCTACAATTTGGTTTTATTTAACATTATTTTACATTACAAACTATGATAGCTTTTTCTCTTGTTCTGCCAAAAAGTGTAGCCCACAAAACTGGCAATAGCGAGGATGACCCCAAGAATAATCCCTCCAAAAAATGATGCTGAATCAAAAGACCTTCCTTTTGTGGGTTTTTCGTGAGGGTTGGGTTTCTTGGTTGGTGCTGTCGTAGATGGTGGTGTAGGTGTGGGAGACGTAGCAGGAATAACATGAGATGTTGACGTTGAAGTAGGAGAAATGGAAGACGTGTCTCTGATTGATGCTGAGGTGGGTGCAGATGAGGTACTTATGATTACTGGACTTGGTGCTGCCGTCATGTTTGCTGCTATAGTTGAATTTAGAGCAATTACTGGGCTTGGAGTAACAGCAACTGACGAGTTATCTAAAAATGATGAAGTAAAACAATGTAAAAATGGTCTTGATTGTTAAATGTCATAGCACTATACATGCATTCCTTTTTTGCAATGCAGGTTAAATGCAGTCTCAAGGCTGATGTGGAAGGTCAAGTAATTGTTTAGCATGTAGTTTGATTTTAAGTTGAAATACAATTGCAAGTAGTGGAGTAGTGGTTGTTTAGCATTCTTTTGGTGGGGAATCTGGAGGGAGTTATTAAACAATACAAAAGAAAAACGAGTTCCAATTTTCCCTTTATTACCGTTGCCATCCCCCCCTCCCCTTTCACTCTTGTTGCCCCCATTGGGTGCCATCACCAATCATTCCAAAATTTCATGAATCGACAAACGTTTCTCATATTTCGTTTACAAATTCAGAGGCTTTTTTGTTTAAACAATTAAAATAAGCGTTATGGTTTCTGATTTACGGCGATATATAAAGCACACATCGAAAGCGTCTTTTYGTAAAAACTGAAAAATGGCAACTACAAAGGGTCGTGGTAAACAGAACTTTTACAGGTAATCATTGCTATATTTCTAAATACTAATGTACTTTTTTGTATAGATTTACTTAATTAACTATCTACAAATATAAAATATACAAAATGGTAAAAGTAAAGAACGTTAACACATTTTATCGATATTAAGTTTAGTTAGGTTATCCTCATGTGTATAAAGTATAAGCTTACCTTTGGCATTGACCGAAGTCATCATGAAAAATAGAACGAAAACCACACCAAAATATCTACAAACCATCTTGAATTTATCTTCGGAGATTTTACAATAATAGTTGCGAAATCGTTCACGCTTTTTAGGACAAATCTCTGAATCTTCTTTTTCCTCTTCTCCTCGCCCGCTTTCTAACTAGAGACTCCTTCAATGTGTTTGTCAAATTACCTGGCAAAAATTTCCACACAGGRGGAGGAGGAGGTAACGTATTTCCAAATCCACGTAATTTTTTTCATATTAAATGCTCTATTTTGTAACTCTTTCGGTCTGAATCGGTCTTAAATTTCATATTTCCTACTCTAAGCTTTCCACTGCATTGTAGTACTTCAAGAATGTAGAACATTTCAGGAAAAATTATTTTGCACCAAAGTTTCCTACCCCTCCCTGGCAATAATTTTTGCTGCCACGTCAACTATGTTTATGCATGATGCAATATTATGCAGAATTTATGAAAGGAAAATTGGAAAATAAATTACATTTATTTAGATCTTAGCATTTTATTTTAAGAATCATTTTTTTCGGTAAAGTTGGCTTGGTTAACGAACGAGCTATGTTTAATAGCGATTTTTTGTTCATTTATATTAGTTTTTCATTAATGCGACGGCTCGTCAGACGTAACAAGAATCAAAATGTAACTGATATGTTTTAGCTGGTTTAAATTCGCTTCATTCGTTTTGTTTTGGCAATAAAGTTCAATAATAATAAACAAAWAATAATAATAAAACCACAGGAAGCCCAATTACCTGCTACTGATATTACATCAATGAACCTATCGATAAATCATTTATGATCGCTATCTAAACCCATTTGCAACGTTTTTTAAATTCTCATTCTTTGATAGTGGATTCCTTTTAGCCTTAATTTCAAAAGAGCAAGAACAGAAAAGAAAAATTCGATTGAGTACAATAGTAAGCCTGACCCCTCCCCTGTTGTCTTGTAAGACACGGTTTATTGGGTGCGCCTTTGAAACTCGAGTATTCGACCCATCACTTCACTGTGAACGGTTACTTCGTGGTTTTAGCGCTACAAACCGCTCTTAAAATGGCAGATGAAGAGAACAGTTTTGTACTTTACGTAAAGGTAAGCCCTCAACGGGTAATATTTCTGTTTTTTAATCAATTTTTGCGCTAAAAAAACTGTGTTTTTCTCATAGGCTTCGACACGAGACTCGAAATCGCTGGGCGCAGATATCGTTTGTCACAGAGTGATGATGATGTTAGCGCTGAAAAATCTCGAAGTTGCTGCGAAAATAGTACCAATAGACACCGTAAAGAGAACCAATGTCACTTTAGACTTCCCTTACAAGAAACTGCCTACCGTTACTTTGGAATACGAGGGGAAATACACTTTTAAAGACGAGCCTTTGGAGATTGAAGACGCTTTTGAGAAGACATTTGAACCTTCTCTTAAAGTCGATAGTAAAGACATCAATACTTTCGTCAATGTTGGAGCTGGTAGCACATTTTACCATAAATTTAACCAATTCATCAAGAACCAAGATCACTCTGCTGACCCGATTTTAGGCGAGCATCTCGCTACCGAGCTCAAAAAAGTAAACAGCTTTCTTCTCTCRGAAAAGATGCCGAAGAACGAAAATGGCGAGAAAGAACTGCTTGGAGGGTCCCACCCGAAGATCCCTGACTGCTATCTTCTCCCCAAGCTTCACTACACGTATGTGGCTCTTGCCTACGTGAAGGAGTTGAAGTTAGATAGTCTTCAAGGGATAGAAGCGTATCTAGAGTACGGAAGGAAGCATCCTGCATTTGCCAACACTTGTCCTGCAAAGGTTGACATAGTGGATTTTTATTGTAGGCAAGCCAACATGTCAGCGAAGAAAAACGCTGAAATTCTTCGTAAAGTGGAAAAAGAAGAAGCATAGAAGACTTTTACTATCATATCACACTAATAACTGTAAGTTTTGAAGTTTTTTGGGGTTATTTTCGTATCTATATTCCTGAGGGTAAATATTGTATATCGCGAACACGTGTACAAGATAACAGCGGAAAATATTCCTAACTTGATTCACTCTTTGTTATGCGATAAATGAATTCTTTACACTAATTTGTTGGCCATTAAATCATTCATTTAGTTCATCATGAGAGACGCTAAGTGAACTTTATCCCTTTTTCTTTTACTAAATGCATATAGTTTTTAGATAACGCTAGGGTTTAATTTTCAAAATCAAATCTGTGATAAAATTTCGTTCAGCTGGTATATCCCAAACACAATCTTTCTTATGATTTAAAATTTATTACTTTAGAATTTCCCTAACTTAGAAACGAGAAAATGTCTTACATTGTTCGGTTTATTTTTCCTTAAAGATAAGATCAAAGCCTATTCTTTTAATTTACTGGGTGATCGATATGACAAAGTTGATTTATTTCATGTTATTAATGGCGCACTTTATAGGCTTTTGATCATTCAAAGTTAGTTTCGGAGATTAACAATGAACAATAATTGAAAAGGAATGTTCGACCCAAAATCATTTACGATAGCCAATCCTGACCTTTGGACGAATTTTTTTCATTCCTTTCTAGACCCAATGGTCTTCTACATATAAAATCAATGTTAATTTGTAATTTATATTATGAGAAAAGAAGGATTCCATATAAAAATAAAAAAACGAGTCTTGACGCTATCTGCATTCATTACTAATATCAGCTTTTCATTACTAATATTTACATGTTAAGAGTAACTATGAACTAGAATATTCCTTTGTGTACATGCTATTTTTAGACTTACTAATCCATCTAGCAAGCTAAAGATTCAATGTCTATAGATTGTTTGTTCAATATTAATTCATAGCTTTTTGGTGTAATTTTCCAGTAAAGGTTCAATTGCAAGGTGATCAGTAGATGCTCAGAGACTTTGGTTGTCTAGGAAACTGCTCTTCAAAACATGGCATTCGTTGCATTGTCTCTGTTCCAGTTGGAAGCTGTTGTCTCTTTTGTTCTCGTAGTTTGTACTCTTTTCATCTGATCATACACCAGTCATTGCTTTGACTGGTTCCTGCATGGTGTTGTACAATCCTTTGTTTTGACAGGAAGTTCCTAATGGACTGTTGATGAAAACCATTTAGAAATGTTAGTTAGATTTCCAAGATATATCAAGCGAAATACCTTAATGTAATTTTAATTGATAAGTAATATTAATAATAATCATGCTTTATAGATCATTAAACACGTTCCATGGCTTTTCTTTGCCACAAAACATATGTAACCATTAAAAATTAGTGATTGCTGATGCATGCCAAGAGCAATTAATCTGGAGAGTCGTTTTTCCATACTGGTTGAATAAATGCACCGGTGATATGGAACTGGATATTCCATAATGGAATAAAATTCAAGTAAGCATATATGATAAATGACTCGAGAAATCCAGAGGTGTTAATATTTTTTTGTGGTTAGAAGCACAAAAATGTTACCCTTATTTACAATCTAGGAAAATGTTAGTGGTATAAAGATGCTTCATGGTTAAAACATATTTTCCTAGTTTTATCTTCTTGTATTTCGATTGAATTTCTTTGACGAATTTATGCATTAGGGATTTATTTTATTTTTCAAATTATATATTGTTATCATTTTTTCTTTTAATTTAGTTTGCAATATCGAGTATCTGATGATTTATTAAGGGAATTGATAATTACAATGAAATTTCCAAATAAATCATCATATTCTCACTATATATGCAATAAATTAAAACATTAGATATGTGTGGTTATATTAGTGTGAGCTTTATTAGGATTAAATGGATTTGGTTTAGCTTGAATTGTGGTCACAACTGCAGAATATTGCATATGTTATTTTATCAATAACAAATTATATTCCTATTTTTTCAAAGACTTCGATCGGACAACAATCCTAATACGATTTCATCTAAAAAAAACTTAAAGGTATGGAATATTCCAAAAACATTCTCCTTAAAAAAAATCAATAAAGCCTTACTTTAAAAAACTATTATGCAATGAGGACATTTGAACCAACTCAAGTTTTTTGTCACTTTATATGATTTATATTGATCCGTCAGTGTATTTGAACACAGTGCTTCAATATAGACCAGTAGAAATAAGTTAGGACAATTATGACCTTAAACAAACTCAAAAGTTTTCACAGTTCGGGTGTCCTCAGTGTTAATATAGTTCTGCATGCTTATCAAAGAAATGATCAAGTTGGTCAAACTTTATGCGGTACATATTGAATGATTTTTCTATGTAAGAGCATCATGATCTTTAATACGTACTGGTAATTGTGAAATAATTGGTATAGATTTAGAATAAAACATACATGCTGATGTATGCGGTTGGAATAATTTATAAGCTGGCATGAATTTTACACTTAAATTATCTCAGAAGATTTTCTGTAAAAAAAAAGAATAGCATATTGGGATCCATTGCAATTATCTAATCAATTAGGACACTACTAGTTTGATTATGTGCATTGGTCACAGCAATAGGACATTAATTTGCATGATGGTGTCATTGACCTTTACTACCAGACTCTCTTAACTTGCACATGTTCTTTTATTCAGTTATTCAGTACCCATAATCTTACTATTCTCATGAGGGAATCCAAATTTAAATAAGAAAGAAAATTCACGAAGCATCTTGGTAGTCAGTCAAATGACGCCATCATACAAACATCCTATTAACTTAAAAATATCTCGTTCTGGGTGACATGTTCTAGCAAACAATGATATTGCATTCCAAAAGTAAGTTCACTTGTTTAAAGTAAACAAATCATTTTCTTACAAGAGGGTTGAGCAAACATTTTCTAGGCAGTTTAATGCTAAATTCCAATTTGATCTGTGAGTTAACCATTTATATGCCACAGCTTAGATTAGCTCAGAGGATGCTTTAGGGCTCATCAAGAAAACTTGCATTTGTTTACTTAATGTGTGAACACACTAACCAGGACCACTTGAATAAAACTGACCAATCAAATAACAGTAAACTAGACAGATATTGAACTGATAACAGTGTTAGCCAATCATATTATCACGTTCTCACGCTCTTTTAATATCGATGCGCTATCTGAGTGGCTGGTTAAACAATATTGAACTAAATGTCGCAATTTGATTGGTTATTGATACTAGTTTATCAAAGTGGTCCCGGTTTGAGTATCCACACAGTAAACAAATGATGAACAAATTGCTAATATGTCCATTTTTCAGTCTCGCTGATCAATGCTGTAATTTGTAGTCCTATACCAATAGCTAATATGTATAAGGTATAAACCACTAATGTATTCATAGAGTGCAAACAATTAATCCGTGAATAGTACAAGATAGTGCTAATTAAACAATAGAAAACAATGGAATTTGCATGAAATTGTGCCATTTAGTATTACTGAAGTTTCACGTTTATATTGTTTTCACTCTATTATATTTGCTTTATAACTTGGATTGTAATATGAAAATCTGTGAATACTACTTTATGGTCCAAAAATCCATACTTTCTTATAGAAAAGAATGATTGATCTAATATATTAACGGCAGAAATTATGGCATTTACTTCAGTAAAACTAATTACCCTCATAGCAATGTTCTTGTATTGCTACCAAAAAATGTGATCAGTTTAATGAAATTAATAATAAATTAAATGAGAACTTAGAGTTTTGTTTTCTTATTCCTGTTAACAGACCTGATTATGATCATTATCATTATTAGTTTGCAGGGCTCGAAATAGCAGCCTGCCAAAGACCAAATGACAGGCCAAATTTCTGGTTTTTCAGGTGAAAATAAGGATACACTGCCAAATGAATGATAAAATGACATGCAAAATTTACTAGAATGACTTCCTTTTAGCATGCTCCTTTACTATGGCAGGCTACAATTTTTTTTTCTATTTCGAACCCTGGTTTGGGTGTAATGTTATCCCATTTCAGATCGCCTGTCATTTTCTTGAGAATAAGATTCCTTGTTTGAGTCGTTCCCATGATACTCTAGGAGAAATAACGTGGACTGAAATGGGAAAGAACCTGGGTTTCAGATACAACCTTGCTCCAATGCTTCTGGGTTGTAAGTTTCATTATTATTCAATAAAATATATGTTAAATATTAGGGCCCTAGCGACCCCCTGGAACCCAGTTTAGGAAGAAACTGAACAGTGGATGATTCAATGGTTTGTCTCGGCTTGGTTCTCTGATTTTCCTCCCTCCACAAAACATGGTCAATTCCACACAAACAAAATACAAAAATACAAAAATCATATATTAAACGAGTAAACTCAGTATTATCTTTTATTACACCTAATTAATGACAACATAATTTATTAATAAAATAAAATTCCTTTGCTTCGCATAATTCCACGCCCAAACACCATTCTCATGAAAGCCTCTCGGGTATGGTATCAGTTGGTTTAATACAACTTCTCTTAAGGTCCGTGTTTGAATACATTCCTGTCTCATTGTGCCATGTATTGTTACCATGGTGACGGTAGTCATCTACGTCAGTGAATTGTGAATGACATTTCTTCCATAATGGTGACATGTCAGGTTCTGGAGGAGGTGTCTGTATTAAATACAATTAAGATTAAAAGGAATTAACAGTGGTTCCAATCCATAGAGTGGCTCTTCTTACACCAAGATTCAAATCAGGAATTTATTAGTTGGATTTTATAGAAGGAGGAAAACCTGGAAAATACCTTTGAAGCACAGGAGAGAAAGCAACAAACAACTCTACTAACATACATTGCCACATCTTATTGATGATAGGTGTGCCATTTCACCAATATGCCACCAGTGCTTCACAAAATAAAGGTTTTGCACCATCAACTGATGGCAGYCATGTTAGATTGCAGGAACGGTACAATCGTTTTACAAGAGAAAGAATTCAATTCCAAAGTGCAAAGGAATTTTATAGTTAACCATCCATAGGCAGCACAAGCTGTATGTATGGGCATGTGACGGTGCAAAACCTCTATTGGCAATACAAAGGAATTAAAGAATAAAGGAGTACTGTTGTAAATAAAGTTTGCCATTAAAAAGAATGCTGAAGAAGGATGAAGCTGAAAGAATAAGTGAAATGGTTACCATTACCTTAGCCTTTTCGTAAGGATAGGGAGCAACGTAATCCACAACATATGTTGTATCCAAATATCTGTATTAATGATAATAAAAACATTTAAGATATCAGTAGTGGAGTGGTGGATGGAGGGAAGGGAGAGAGGGGGGACTATTCAGTGACCACATCTGACCATAGACCACAGTGGTAAGGGGTTTTTTTAATCGAAGTATCTTATTAATAAATTTGCTGTGTGCATTATTATATAGTTTTTGCATAGAATTTATGTTATAATATTATCACTGCTCTCTGGAAAAGTATCAGTTGTATGAATGAGATTCCATGTTTAAATGAAGTGTATATATGTAAGTAGTCAAATAATATAGTCAAAATGACTTACAGATATTCTGAAAATGGGATACACCCCTGCTTCCCAATAGTACAAAAGGGGCAACTTTGACAAGTGATTAAGTTCAATTAAGTTACCTCTTTCCATGTTCAGCATTGTGTCTTGGTAAAACACTGCCAAATCCACGATCAGGTGCCCCAGTGTCTCTGTCGATTAGGAAGAAATCAGGAAAAATAATGCTCAAGGCAATAACATCTGAAGTTGGGATACATTTACTGCCCAAAAAAATACAATATTAACAAGCCATTCACTTGTGGTCTGAGATTGAGACATTTTTAGACCAAACAATAAAATAATACTAAAGGAAATGATATGGTCTGAAATATAGACATTTCTGTCCCAAACAAAGGTATAATTCTTAAGAGAATGAGAAGATTTGAAATGCAGGCATTTCTACCCCCAAACAAACTAGAGACACTTCGTAAAAGGTTCTTTGGTTACCTCTTAGTAGAGAAATCAATATCATTAAGAGTAGAAATATCCATCATTGGACGTCTTGTTTCTCGAGACTCAAAATCCTTCTTCAAAAGAACGGATTGTTCCATCTGATCATGACTGGTGGTGCTTGGCAAGGACTGAGAAAAAAATATCTTATTTTAAAATAATCTATAATAATATAGGAAGATATAACTCGCTAAAAACTAGTGTGAGCTGCGTCGATGTTTCTATAATTAAACAGTAATGATAAAAAGGTAAATTTTACACCGTGAAAAGATTAAAAAACTTACTAATAATAAGATATATAAGTTTAAACTGATAACTGAATATTGAAACTATCGCTTACCCCATCTGTTATGTCCAGGATTCGATTATAAGTCGAGTTGTGGAGATTCCGTTTTTCTGGCTCGTAGTTCTTTAATTCATAATCCTTTGGCTCTGCTTCTCTTGCTTGATGCCTGAGCAGTCGTAACAAAAATTAGTTATCATTAAAAATATACCTTCCTGCAAGCAGTGAGTGTGTGCAAACTGAAAAAGAACGCTAGAAACAATCTGAGCAATTTACTTAAAATCTTATATGAAATTTCCAAGCAATTTTCAGTCGGTTTTAGGCATTTGAGGTCGTTATTAATCTGTACAGAAAAAATAGTCATTTGGTTTAAAAATAAAGATTTTTCCTTTCATTGGAGTTGGTTAGTAATATGTAAACAAAACATATTCAAAAGTTACCAATTTGAGACAAGAGTAGGACGGCTGTAGTCCATGTGATCCGAGCGCAAAAACAGCGATCCTTTCCTCTCCACAAAGTCTGGAATATGCATAATAGGATTTGAGTTCCCGAACATTTTAAAATAGGTTTTAAAGGGTTATTTTTTTCAAAATTCTTGAGGATCCCAACGCGTGGAAAAAGTATTGAATCAAGTGTAAACTGTTTATACTCTACTGTTGCCATGGTGACTCAACGTGACCGCTGAACAATAATACAGCTGTTTCATATCTGCATCAAAGATGGCGGCCAACAGCTTCAAGATCTTCAGAGAACTTCACTAGTTTTCGTCTATGATTTTCCACATTTTTGTGCCTAAATTTAACCATTATGAATGAGAARGAGGAAGACGAGGTTTCAAAGTACCTTTCTGTAGCTCGAGAATGCATTGTTCTTGAAAAATACGCCGAAGCATTGGCATATTTCGTCTGCCTTGGAAATATGCAGCCGGCAAGGAAGAAAGAGTTTGAGTCGGATTTTATGGCTGCTTTGTGCAAATGGACCGAGGTTTTAGAACAACACGGGGATTATAAAAAGATGTTGAACTGCTTTCAAGAAGCAGCAGTTTTGTATCCCGATAATGAGACTCTTTTGAACAATGTTGGTGGCGTGCTTTTTCGCCTGGGATTCAGCGACGAGTCAGCTTCTTTTTTTCGTAAGGCTTTACGACTCAACCCGTCAAATCTCCAAGCGAGGGAGAATTTAGAAAACGTTTCTAATTCTCTGGTCGAGCGATGGCACTTTAGGATGCTTAATGATCGAAAACGCAACCTAGCTTACAAAGAAGCAATAAAAAGAGCTATCGCACGAGGATATGACACAGTTTTAGATATTGGAAGCGGAACGGGGATTCTAAGCATGTTCGCCGTAGAAGAAGGGGCAAAGAAGGTTTATGCATGTGAGTTATCAAAAACGATGTATGAAGTTTCAATTGATGTGCTGCGAGCCAATCAGATGTTAGATTCTATCCATCTTATAAACAAGAAATCCACAGAGATGTCGGTCGGGAAGGATTTGCCTAGTCACGTGACTCTGGTTGTTACTGAAACCATGGACTGTGGTTTACTTGGCGAAGGAATCCTTAAAACCATTTCGCATGCTTGGGGGAACTTGTTGGTACCTCTTAAAGACTCTATGAAGTCAAGTCAGCCTGCGTCGAAAGTTATTCCATCTGGAGCTGTGCTATACGGGATGGTTATTACAGCAAGGGATATTCGTAAGCAGAGTAGATGCAGAACAATGATCTCTGGCGTTGATCTATCAAAGGTTCACATTATTGGAGGAGATCAACTCGAACCTCAAAATAACAACTCAGATCTTGTGATTGAGGATCCAGTGGAGCCGTATACAACAGAATCTCTCAATACTCTTCCCTCTGGATACAAACCTCTCACTGACACATTTGTCATAACAGAGTACAATTTCTGTGATACCAGCAGCTTGGATGCCAAGAGAGAGCTAACCTTAGAAGTCTCCGTCAAATGCTCTGGTAATGTTGATGCTATAGCGGTTTGGTTTGACCTTCATCTGGATGAAAATGTATGCATTAGTACTGGTCCGAGTGATGATTCTTTGTGCTGGGAGCAAGCTATATTTCCTGTCCATCCTCACCATTTGGTTAATAAAAGTTCTCATGAAGTGGACAATGAGATACTGATAAATGTAAATGAGGGAGATTCTCTTACGATAACAGGAGTAGTAAGCCAAGAGTACCTGCAGATTCAATGCCGTGATGCAAGTCCAAAGAAGAACATTGGAAGGGAGCTACTTGTGCCAACCGCTCCGTATGGGTGTCAGGAAAATGTCAATCAAGATCAAGACGTTACAGCTGTCCCAGTACTGGCCAAAGAAGTAAAAAATGATTGTAAAAAGTCGTCATTAAAGGCAGAATCCTTAGTGGTTCTTCCTCCTTCCTACCTTTGCAGAGCAAACGACACATTCTACAGCTCTTCCCTTCAAAGTGTAGTTCTAAACTCATTCAAAGAAATAAATTTGTCTGAGGCACAGGCTGATGGAGGTGTGTGTGGAATCAAAGTGCTTGACAATATGAATGGGTTACCACTTTGCTCACTACTTGCAGTTCAAGAAGGTGCAAGTCATGTTCTCATAACGAACCCAGGAATAAGTATCAATGTGCTGGAAGAAATCAGAAAATCAAATGAGATCCCAAACAGGATTCATTATGGGCCGGCCAAGCTTGAAGATATTGCTCTTGATGGAAGAAATTGGGACATCTTTATCACTGACCTAGTTGAGCCATCAGGTGCCTTAAAACAACAAGCTATTGAAGATATCGTATTCTCACAAGGGTGTTTACTAAAGCAGGATTCAGGCCTCGTCATCCCAAGAGAATTCCAAGCCCTTTCTATGTGTATTGAGTCCCAGGCGCTCATGGCTTTAAGCAAAGTTGTCAACAATGAAAATACTTTAGGTCTAGAGATCGGGCAATTTATGAATGAGTTTCAAGTGTCGACACAAGTCAATATAGACCTGAGTACATTAGAGTTTACTGCTCTCAGTGAAGAGTTGGAACTTTTTGACATGGATTTTATGAGAGATATCTCACATGACGAAGAGTTATTGGAATTGCTTGAAGTGAAGAAAGAAAAGAAAGTCAAGATGCTAAGAGAAGGTACAATACATGCAATACCTTATTGGTTCAGGATTGGATTGACTAAAACTGATTCAGTGCTAACGTACGGTAGGGGGCATGAAGAATCGCATTGGAGACAGGCCGTCTTTTTGTTGGCAGAACCTTTGCATGTAAAAAAAGATGATGAGATTGTCATTAATGTTAGAGTGAAGGACAGTTGCATTGCATTTGATGTCAGGAGTGCTTAGATTGCTAAATTCCGGTATGAAAAATTTACACACCAAATCCATTGTTTTTCATTTCGGGTCACATGTCACCCCCTTAAGATCCATTAATGCTGTATGGATGAGGTTAAAAAAAGAAACTTGTTCTCTAGAGAATGACATGATTTCTGAAATGCTAAACAAATTTTATGTGCCCCAAGTAAATTACAATAGGTTGACTGTCATTCAGGTGTCTAACTCGTCACCTGTAAAGAAAAAAATAATGCTAAAGGAAATAACAAATTGAAAAACATGTAGCATGTAAACTTGACTATTTACTTATAAATTTTATTTAGATTAAAGATTAAAAAACTACAAAAATATTTCTCTTTGTTTTTTTTTTTAGGTTGTCGTCACCCATAGAAAAAAAAAATGCTTAAGGGAATAACAAATTGAAATACATATAGCATGTAAACTTGACTATTTACTTATAAATTTTATTTAGATTAAAGATTAAAAACTACAAAAATATTTCTCTTTAATTTTTTTCTAGGTTGTAACTCTTTGCAGTCGTTATTAATCAGATGATCACAATATTTTCATCTCCTCCAAGTCCATCCTCTTTCTTTCAGGTATTTACAGCAGCTAGTCGGGAATATACTTCCTATACTCATCGTAATATCACTATAAAGCCACAAACATATTAAGAGAGGACATGAAGGCTTCGTTACAACAGGTACCAAGCATCAATATGCCTTATAATCATCTTTAATGCAGTTAATATAGAGGGTTTTCACGTGACGTCACAGTGGCCATTATGGGGTACCAAAACAATACATTTTCTATCATCCGGGAATTGAACTCTATTTTTATGCAAATACTGTGCAGAAAGTTTCTATTGTGTATGGCTGCCTTCTCATGTGAGTGAAAACGCTCTATAGGGGTCTTATAGCAGCTAAGTCATGGGGCAGGAAAAATGATGTGAAGGACCGCTGAGGGGGAGGGGTTAGGGGGCTATGCCATTTTGTATACTAGTCTTATGTTTTCAAATCATGGCCCTCTTGGGTGCTCTGCAGTCATCAAATGGTCATCATAATACCCCTCTATACAACACCCTTCTTTGTTTAATGCTGCCTTTGTATAATTCTTTATTTCATAAGACTATTTCTTCTCCCCTTCTGTTGTTCCAGTCGATTCAAGTTTCAAAGCCCTATGATGATGTAGAGTTTGCCAATGTTCCATTGCCGAATGGTGCGGTTTTGTCCATAGAATCATCATATAAAAACCCTGAAAAATCATTTACAAATTGTTAGAAAAAAACACGCTTGCTTTATTTTGTCTAAGATATTCAGTTCTCCCTCCCTCCTTCCTTAGAAGAGAAGAAAGTAAGAAAGAAGGTAGCACCTCTGTAGACTTCTCTTTGGGATCCCTGTGTGGTAAAGGGGATATGTTTACAGTCCTCCCCTTAGCTACCCACCACAGGTAGCCCGCCAAAGGAACAATCGACAACATGATACTTAAAATCAGAGGGAGAGACAGCTACAAAGAAAGCTAAAGGGAAGGGGGGAAAAATGAGAAAACGCAGGGTTACCGGCAATAGAAGCTGTCATAAAGCAAGCAATGTTAGCTGCCACTAGGGTCCTTATTGCTATCTTCGCCATATCCCTCTTTCTAGTTGGTGCCATCGGACCCAGTCCACCAAGAAGCACTCCCAGGCCTAAAAAGTTGCTGAAGCCACACAAGGCGTAGGTAGCGATAACCTCCGAATGTGCCTGTATGACAAAAATGATGCATCGTGTGAAACACTAGCAAAAGGAATTGTGGTCTATCTTGGGTATACGAACCCATATACAAAATATAGATTAGTAACTGAAGGTTTTTGCACTGAAGGGTATCCTAGAGTCTTACTAGTGTTTCTGATTATGTTGGTTTGTTGATGGAGAAACTTTGCTGTCATAGGACAGAGCTGTAGCCTCTCCCTCCCATCCCCCAAGTTATATTTTTCATACGCGATTTGACGTAGGCACAAAACATACTAAATCTCCACAACCTACGCTTATGAGTGGTGCGGAGTGCCGTGAGCATGTCGGTAAGAGCTGCAGTCATTCTGATTGGACGATTAGCGTCTGCGCTGGCTGTGATTGGTTTTTAACGAACATTATTAATATTGCACCCTGACCATGCAGTAATATTTCCCACATGCTCTATTACAGCATCGTGATGTTTATATGCCTACCATTTTAACGATAGGTTTTTTCGCTTGCTTTGTTGATTTTACCAATAGTATTTTGTTTTTTACGGGGGGGGGGGGGGGGGGGGGGGTGGGGTCACGTGAACTGTTGTAGCAAAATGTCCATTTAAATAACAACCAATCAAGACATATTACGCCATCTTACGTCCAATAGTAAACCATTTT